ATCTGATGGTGAAAATAATCAAAACTGAATTTTCTCTTTGGCAAAAGTTTGCCCTTGGCCACAGTGTGGAGTAGATGGAAGATACAACGGCAGTGTACAAATATTCAGTCAGTTTTCTTTTGCAAACCAGCGATGGGGTTATGACAACTTGTTGAATATATTCAGCATACAAATTTCCTCAGATTAAAGATTGATTTGAAATAAAGGGATATGAGACTCTGCTTGTTCTCTGCACAGCCTGTTCTCTTTTCCGCCTCAATCATTAGGCTTCACTTTCTTACTGAGGTCACAAGACAGCACTGCTGACTTGTCCAAGTAAAAAGCTACCAAATAAAAAAGCAGTGACTGAGTGATAGCCTGAGGACAACTGGTTAGACTCCTCGTTTCTCACTGCTGAGTTCAGTGGAATCACAAATTAGGATCATGGGCTTCATTGCAGAAATAAAGTCACAATATCAAAAGGTTCCCAGATTTTGGTCTGCTGCCTCTGAACAGAAGCATCCAAATATGGCAGCATCTAAGGGTAGTTTTAATCAGTCTCAACTCTAAAATGAAATTCCTAAAGAAAAGACAATTTTGGGTCAGCATTTTACAAGGTTCCATATGAGTAAATGCCAATCCATGTAAATTAGTACTAATCTATAAAGAGTAATATTCCTTGCCCTATATCTTCAGGTTATGATATGGGAGATTTATCCGTTCAGTCAAGTGGAGATTGCTTAAATGAAAGCCATATATAATATTTACTCCCAGGCAGGTGCTATTAAACGCACTGCACAATATTTAAAAATGATGAATGCACATCGGGCACAAAGTAGAGGGAAGCCATTCATTCTGAAAACTTATCTCTACCCCTTCCTGTTTCATCCTGCGGATATTTTTTTATTGCAGATATTATTTACTTTCCTATTATCCTGATGCAACAGTTGGAGGGGGAGAGGCAAAACTTCAGCAGCTTCAAAGCATGTTCCCCCAGTTAAATGGCTCCCATTTAGAAACTGTTCCTCTGAAAATGTGTCACAGGGTATCTCGTTTTTATAAATTCTTTACTCCCTCTTGAAAATCTCTATTTCAGTTGCCAGTAAAGATTTACATGATTTTGGAAGAACTAGTCATCAAAACTAATACAGCTGTGAATGACTGACATCAAGCACGAAGGGGGGGGGGAAGCATGTCAATGTTTCAACATATTACTTGTTGAACAACTTCTACTCAGTTCATCTGCATTAAATGGGTGCGCCAAAAGTTGGACATGCCAGCAGATGGTTACAAGCATTGTTTGGCATGCATATTGCTGTCATTCCACACTGCTTAAAGATGAAACACCATTCATTCCCCTGAAGAGACTCTTTTCTAAAACTGTGATTTAGATAGAACAGAAAACCTACAGAAACTGTACATTTGGGCCTTAGACCTTCAAGTCCCAAATCTGTGTTGTCTTGCTTGCTAATTTGATTTTTAGTATTTTTGAACAGCAGTCATCTCTTTTCAGAGATTTAATGCTTCTTAACCATGAATGTGTGTGTTGTAAGTACTATGGGTATTTCTTTTAAGATATCCATGTCCAGACCTCCCTGAGTCACCACACTAAATCATCCATCCCAGGGTGGAGCCTGGGTATGTATATTTTCAAAAGCTTACCAAGTGATTATGCAGTGCACCCCTGGTTAAGAACAACTACTCCAGATCATTTTTTATACTGATGAGCAAATAACTATGACATACAAACATGTCTATGATGACCAATATAATTCTGCTTTATTCCTCATAGCTTTATCTAAATGTTCCCTTTTGCCATCCTATTCCTTCCTCTGAATCTCTTTCTTTGGGTATAGTCTTGGAGCTTTCCATAGTTTGATAATTTTCCTAGACAAATTTTAGGCTAAGTCAGTGTGTAATAGGCACTCTTCATTTGGAGAGGCAGAGTGCCAACTTAGATCAGCAAATCCTTCCAAAACAATGCCACTATAACTTACGGTCATTTAACCAATATTTATTCAGCAGTATATATGTGGTGGTAAAGGCTAAGAACACAAGAAAAACAAAATGTGGTTCTTGCGCCCTCACAGAGCAAGTATTCTGTAATTAGGTTAAAAATATACGGACAAGTTAAGAAAAGTTAAATAACCACATAAGAAAGCATGTGATTCCATATTAAATTACTGGTACTTACAATGAGGACTCCAAAAATTTGAAAAAAGTAGTGTTCATTCCAGACATTCAACAGTCATGCCACGTTTCTGAGAGGGCCTAGGGTTTGAAGAATTACCCAGGTAGGGGAGAGATGGGCAGGGCAGAGGGTAGAGGTGTCCATGTTAGGAACACAGCATAAACCAAGGCAGGAATGAACAAAGAAAGTATGGACAGTGAAAAGACAACTTTCTGGTAGGAAGAGGTCATTGATACCAAATGCATGAAGGCCAGAATCTAGCAAACAGGCTAAGGGGACTAATAATTTATCCTATAGTTGCAGAAGAATCATCGAGGTTTACAAGCAGCAGAATATGAAGATCGTACCATTTTAGGAAGTTTTTTGTAGCAAAATATATATGAATGTGATAAATAATGAGAGCTATGAGAGCAATTAAGATCTGTGCCACAGCAGTGGCTTTACAAAGAACTAATGGAACTCGGTAAATGACTGGTTTGAGCTGCTAGTCTGTAACAGAATGGAGGCATGCCAACAATAGAAGGGAATTCAGCAGGGGAAGCAAGTCAGAGTTGCCTGTTGGGAGAGAGCAAAACGATGCCTCAGAAGAAACTTCTTCATGGGACAAATGACTTCAAAAGACTTTGGCAAGAGGAAATAACTTCTGCAAAGAGGATGGAAGGTAAAGTGGGGGGAAATAAGAGGCTAAAGACTGAATCTGGAGAAGCAGCCCAATCTAAAAAATGCAAAAATACAGACTAAACAATACAACAGAAGCCCTTGGAAGGGCAGGAGAATCTAGCGGCAATCCAGAGGTTAAGGAATAAGAGAGATCTACCCACAGTGGATCTTTCTCCTCTAATCTGTAGTTATTGACTGTCCATACCAATTGTTTAGCACCCACACCTGTCTGTTGTATGATACCACTGATGTACACAGTCAGATATTTCTCTTATCTCCTTGACATTATTATAATAAACTTCTTAGGGAAAGAGATCATAATCGATACTTCGGGTACCATCTCTCTCCTGGCCCCAGTTGTACCTTCACATTACCATGCCTTTAGCAACCATTTAGAAATATTTTTAAGGGCAGCCCAGGTGGTTCATTGGTGTAGCGCTGCCTTCAGCCCAGGGCGTGATCTTGGAGACCCAGGATCGAGTCCCGCGTTGGGCTTCCTGCATGGAGCCTGCTTCTTCCTCTGCCTGTGTCTCTGCCTCTCTCTCTCTCTCTGTTTCTCTCATGAATAAATAAAATCTTTAAAAAAATATTTTTAACTGATTATAAGCGTGCAGATAAAGGCCAGCTGAACTCAGGGACAAGACATAGATACTGGTATGGTGTTGAGCCTTGCTATTCCAAGTGTGGTCTGTGGACTGGTGGCTTCACCTAAGAACTTGTTAAAAATGCCACCTCAGTTGCCATTTCACACCGATTGAATGACAATCTGCATTTTAACAAGATCCAGTGACCAATTCCTCTACCTACTGGTATGTAAACTGGTATAGACTCAGTATAGTATAGAAAGGGGCTAGCACTGAGTTACCAAAGTTGTTAGTTGGAGGAGGGGAAGACACACATGAGTTTCAGCATGTGGTTCCTATGCCAAGACCCAGCTTCACCCCTGCTCAGACCTGGAGTCCAATGGAGCGCAGGTCCTTTGCATATACAGTGGGCCAAGGCCAGGAAGCAATTCCACCTTTTGATCTGGAGCCCAGATGCATAAATCCTTCTTCCATAAACTGCCACCAAGTTCAATTATAGGAAGGGCTTTGCAGATTGTATCCACTGCATTGTTTTTCAGGTTTTATAAATATTCTGACCTCCTCAAGATCCTGGTTGTGCTCCCCATATTTATTCAGCCCTACGAATTTATGATATTATTCTGCCTCTCACTCATGTCTCCCATAACATTCGGTTTCCCTCTAAGGTTTAGGCTGCAACTGCTAAAATACTTTTTTGGCATAATTGAAAGCTAAACCTGAAAATGCAACTTTAACCCCAAACAGAAAGAGCCAGCAACAAAAGGAGCAACATCGACAGCCCTATTGTTCAAATGACCAGGTGTCAGGAAAAAGCTCCCGAAGGACAGAGCTGTTAGACAAAGGCACACTCATATCCCAAAGGATGAAGACCAAGTGGACCAATGAGCTCAAGGCACAGCATCTTCTCTTTGTTGAAAATGTGCTCAATGCTTCAGCATTTCTTTTTCTAACTTTCCTATAGGTTAGTGCATTGAGTGTCACTATTTCAAAATAGCACTGTGCTAGTTCTTTGTTGAGTCTTTTAGTTTTCTTAACAGCTTTATTGATATATAATTTACACACCATAAAGTTCACATTTCATAAATGGAAGAGATCTTTATTCCATCCCCCACCTTAAAGGAATGCTTCATTAAATTCAACCATGGAATATAATATAGTTATTTCTTAAATCTTCAGGAATATGGGGCATCATCATGACTCTCTGATAATACATCTAACATCTCAGCTTTTACCAGTGGAAAGAACATCTTGACAAAGTCCCCTCTATTAAAATTCAAACCATTAAGTCATGACTTTTAGTGCCATATTTCAGAGGTGGCTGGCTGGCATCACTGCAGGCCCCTGTAATCTGCCTACTTTGTAGGAACTCCACGAGAACGTGAATTTCACTTACTGAATCCAAAGTGGAAATCACAAATCCTTACAAACTACTATTCCCCCAATATTTTGTGGACTATTTTCCTACCGGATGGCATGCTTTTTTTTAGGGGCTGCTGGAGCCTGCAAGAAACTTTTATTTTTAACCTCGGGGACAGGATGAGTACTTAAGCAGTTTTTTTCTTTCAGAAAGAAAAATAGCAACTTACATGCTCTCGCAGAACTTCCTCAGTGTGCTTGGCTTCTCCTGGTTGCATCTTTGTCGAAACCAGCGTTGAATGCTGCGAACGTCCCAGTCCAGCTGCTTGGAGAGGCCTTCCAGTCTCTTTTCATCAGGATGCTTGAAACAAGGTAACAGCAAAATCATTTTCATCTTCACTATAAACACACCTGCCTTTGTCTAAATTGAGATTTTCTTCCCCCTATATTGACTACTTGCTACTACTGAGCACCTAGTCCTTCCACTAGTAGCATGAACATAAATAACCACCTTAGGAAACAACACTGAAAAATACGAATCTTGTTCTGATGCTTGCACTTCCTATCAGCAACAGAGATGCAATGAAACAGCCAACTGGGTCAGCTCCATTAGCCTTTAAGGAAGGAGTTAGGTTAGGGTGAATTTGTGAAGAGGCATCTTTCAAAGTTTTTACTTTCTCAGAAAAAAAAAATGCTATACCCAATTATCTCAGGGTAAGTTAGGAGACAAAAGCATGGAATAATCTCAAGAGACCTCACTTGAGCCTACGGCACCAATTCTATTATAAAACATGTGTTCTCAAAAAAACAAGCATGTGTTCTCTTCCTTCTTCTTCTCTCTCTGCTCTGCTGTTCACACATTCCTCTTCTATCCCCCTTCCTGGCTATTCCTTTTGACTAGATCCCCATCAAATCTTTCCAACAACTATGCATGACTTTAAGACACAAACGTGGTGAACAGGGAAGAGACCCTACTTATGTCTCGCCATAGGATGATACTATTCTCTCACTCATTTCTATAACACTATGAAGTGCCAGCCAGGTTCAATTCCTCGCTCTAATGACCTCTGAGCCTTGGTTCTCTCATCTGTTAGGGTTATTTATCCACCTAAAGAGGACTGTGGTGAAGACCAAATGTAAAAAATTGGTCTAAGACTTAGTAAGTGTTCATTTCTCCCTTTTCTTATCTCTACTCTCCGATATCTTAGGGACCATCCTGCACACAAATATGTGAGCATGTCCTGCCACACAACAAAACTAAGCTGAGTTAGTTCTATTCCTTTATTTATTCATCTTTCCTTTACTGTTAACGAGATGTTAGTGATCAGAGGAAATAACCAAAAATGGGGTAAGGGAAGGCAGGCTGACCAGCTTCAAGTTACGAAGGTGGGATGTACATATGACACGTTTTCAAAGAATCTCAAGTAATTGAAGATGTCAGATACACAGGGGATGCAGCAAGTGGCCTCAGTGTTGTGACTGAGGTCATAAAACATGCTAAGCTTGTGTCTGTAAAAGTCCTTTGCCCACTTTCAGTGAGATGTGTACTGTAACGTGTTTTTGTTTTCAGTAGTCATGACACCATCTACCATCTACACTCTCCTTTTGTGTCTATCTTAATTAAAAAATAGGGAAGACAAAAATTCACATCCTACTATACACCTTGGCTATACCATTTTCCTAGAGGAATTAATCATTAAATTCAATTTGTTTTCTCAGCTTATTGAATAGGTAAAGCATTCACATGGTTCACAAATTAAAACAAAAAAAGTTTTACCTTCCCATTTTATTCCTACTATGCTCCCTCTTCCTACCAGCCAATCAGTTATTAAATCAGTTTATTTTCCAGAGTTATTTTATGCAAATATAAGTAAATTTGAACATGTATTCTTATATCACTTTGCCAAACAAATGGTTGCATACTACATGTATTACTCTGAACTTTGGGCTTTTTACTTTACTATGTATTTTGGAATACTTCCATATTAAAATATAAAGAATGCCCTCCTTCTTTTGTAGGATTGTCAGGATATACTATAATTTACTTATCCACTCTCCTGTTAATGGGCATTTAAGTACCTTCTAGACTTCCACTACTATAAACAATGCTATAATAAATCATCTTGTCATAGAGCATTTTATACAGGCAGACATAGAGATAAATTCCTGGAAGCAAATGTAGATCAAAGGCCTATGCATTCGCAACCTTAGATATTGAAAAACTACCTTCATTAATGATTTTACCAATTTATACTTACACAAACAAGAGTGTGCATTTCCTCACCATGATCAGATTTCTCAACTTTTTCCCAGTCTGATAATAGTGTCTCAGTATAATAGTGTCTGATAATAGTGTCTCAGTATATTTTTAACTTGATTTCTTTTTTTTGAAAGAGGAAAAACCATTTTCTACTTCCTTTTAATGAACAATCTTTTCATATCGATTGCACATTTTTTCCTGATTTGAAGGTATTTTATGGATTGTAGAGGTTTTTTTTCATTTATTAATTAGGGTGATTAAACCTTTGTACCATAGGTTGCATAATTTGTACCAATGTCTTTGTGTTTTAGAATTCGCCATGGGTTTTCTGCTTGTTTTTTCTTGAAGTTTTTAAAAAGCATATATGAACTTATCAGTTTTTTCTGAATTTGGGGTCATAAGAAAAATTTTCTGAATTTGGGGTCATAAGAAAAATTTTCCCTACTCCAATTGTTTGAGAAATTAATGTAGGGTGAACTACCATGTTTACCCAATTTGTCTTTTGTATTCTTCAAAATTACCTACTTATCTTGCACATCCTTGTTACATTTATCCCTAGGAATATTATCTTTTCTGGTTTTGTTCGTGGTAACTTTTCACTTGATTCTTTTATTTTTCCAAGTATGCAGTCATATTATAACATGTAACGAGAATGTAAGCTCTACAAACAAAGGAGATTTTTAGTATCTTTTTTCACCTAAAATATAGTAAGGACTCAGTGAATTCAAACAGCAATAGCTTCACCTCCTCATTTCTAATTTTTATGCCTTTATTTTCTTTCTCTTAACTAGTCACTACTTCTGTGTAAAACTGAGCACAATGCAGAGCAGTGATTATAAGCATCTCCATTTGTTCCAGACTTGAGTGAGAATACCACTGTTTCTTATTAAGAAACAGGCCAGATTTGGAGCTGACACACAAATGTGTTTATCGTGTTAAGAAAAAGGTAACTTGGTTTTAATCACAATAATGGTAGATTTCAGCATCCATGCAGATGATTACAAACTTTTTCTCTTTTGATCAATTATGACGATGTATCAGATAGATTTTTGTAATACTGAATATAGGGAAGGCCTTGCATTCTAGGCCTTGCATTCCTAGAATAAATCCTCTCTGGTGATGATAAATAATTCTTTAGTGTGCTGCTAAGTTCTGTTTACTAATTTTTATTTGGGATTTTTTTCATTGATATTAGTAAGTTCGGTATCTAGTCTTATTTTTTTGGTTTAATCTTTGTCAGACTTGATTGTTAATTAATGTTTTATTGCTACATAAAAAGAGAATTTGAATGACTTTCTTAATTATCTATGCTTTAATATAGTTTAAAATAGCATTGGGATTATCTGCTCTTTAAGAGTTAGAATTTTTCTTTTGAGAACATCTGAGCCTGCTACCTTTTTGCGGTTTAGCTCTTTGATTTTGATCTTTATATATACATGCACACAAACATATATATATGGCGGGGCGCGGAGGGAGAGAGAGATAGTTGATAAATTTTATTTTCCTAGAATAATTTGCATTTTACCCAAGTTTTTATATTTATTTATTTATCTTACATTTTATTTGCCACATTAAGAGAAATATATCTTTTTTATTTTCCTCCATTTCCGTGATGTTATAATGCTGCTAATTATTATGTTGTAAATTTATGCTTATTTTATTGGATTAGCTGACTTTCTGTAAAAAAAAAATTAAACAGATATTTTTGAATTGATCTTCAATTCTATAGTTTAAACACAATTTCTGCATTTATTGTTAACTTTTGCCTTCTGCTTGCCTTCATTTTGTTTTGTTGTTCTTTTTCTAAAGTTTAGAGTTAGAATAGCAAACTCTATTCATCTGAGCACTGCTTTGGCAGTACAAATGAGTGAGGCTTTCATCATCTCTGTTACCAAATATTCTGAAATTCTATTTTTTATCCAAGAATGGATTAATATTAGGAAAGCAAGAGATTTTCTGTTTTCTGATTTCTAGTATTATTAAGTTGTGCTTATTTTTAAAATTAGTGTTGTATTTATAATAAAGGTCAATTTTTGTAAATATTTAACGGGTACTTCTAAAGAAAGTATGGTCTCTACATTCAGAATATAAGGTTCTAAATGTACCACTTAGATCTCCCTCATTAATTATACCTCTTAGAATTTCTATCTTCTGTTTTACATTTTGTTCACTTAATCTGTCATGACTGAGAGGTAAATTAAAATCTGCTATTAAGTTATTTCTTCTTTCATTCTTTTTTATGAGTATATGGATACACTGATATTCAATGCGTATTAGTCATAACCACTTTATCTTTTTTATGAATTGTATCCTTTGGCAAGAAAAAGCCAATTTTTCATTTCACTTAATCCTTTTTGGCCTGGCTTCCACTTTTATGTAAAAATAAAAATCCTACTTTATTATTTGCATTTGTCTATATACTTTTACTAATACTTTTATTTTCAATATTTGTAATTACTTTATCTGAAGGTGTCTCTATCAGCTATGTGACCTAAATCTGTATTAGTTTTTATTAGAGGAGTCAAGCCCATTTACGTATATTGATATAACTGATAAGTTTGCTTACAGTTCTGTCACATGAATTGTTATGCTGTTTTAATTTAAAAAAAATTTAATCTTGGCAAGCAAATATGGCTTATTTTCCTTCCTTTTTGTGGGTAATTTTTGTTCTAGTGGTTTTCCATAACTGTAATTATGTTTGTTTTCAATCAATAATTCCATATGAGCAATATTCAAAATTAGTATATTTCCTCTTCCTCCCACTTAATACTAGACAATAATTTTATCTTCTTTACAGTTTACTCTTTTATCGTTTAATATGCTTGTACTTCTATTACCCAATTTGGCTGCTTAAACTGATTGGCTTTGACTCCCACCTCCTAGAGATTATGCAATCAGTGAATTTATTCTACCTCCTGCCTTCCTTCCCCTCCCCATCTCAAATACTGTTAGTTGTATCCCTTCTACAATGTGAGAGCATAGAATATTTACATTCTGTTCTGTCATCCTAATCCTCACATTTAACGGTTTAAATGTATTCAAACCTTAACGACACTCCAGCAACATCTTCATTGGCTGAAATCAATGATTATAATAGTTTT